AAAAAAAAAAAAAAATACAGTCACACTTTCCAGTGTTCTTTATTCCTTTGTCTAGTTCAGTGTTAAGATCCAAAATCATGGGAGGTGCCTATGGCTCAGTGGGTAGGGCGCCAGCCCCTTATACTGAGGGTGGTGGGTTTGGTTCAAACCCAGCCCCGGCCAAACTGCAACAAAAAATAGCTGGGTGTTGTGGCAGACACCTGTAGTCCCAGCTACTTGGGAGGCTGAGGCAAGAGAATCGCCTAAGCCCAGGAGTTGGAGGTTGCTGTGAGCTGTGACGTCATGGTACTCTACCGACAGCGATAAAGTGAGACTCTGTCTCTCTTTAAAAAAAAAAAAAAGGATCAAAAATCATTTTCCCTTAGTTTAAGAACATTTAGTATTTCTTTTTCATTTTAGAGACAGGCTTAAGTGTAGTGGTGTGATCATAGCTTAACTACAGACCTGAACTTTTGGGCTCAAGCTAACTTCTTGTCTCAGTCTCTCAAGTAGATAGGACTACAACAGGTGCCTGCCATCACACCCAGCTAATTTGTTTTGTTTTGTTTTTTCTCTTTTGTAGATGTGTGTGTGTGGGGGTGTCTTACTATGTTAATTAGGCTGGTTTTGAACTCCTGGGCTTAAGCCATCCTCCCACCTTGGCCTCCCAAAGTGCTGGGGTTAGAGATGTGAGCAACCAGGCCCAGCCCCAAATCTTACTATTTCCTTTTTTTTTTTAGGCAGGGTCTCTCTGTCAGGGCTAAAATGTATCATCATAGTTCACCTCAGCCTTAAACTCCAGGGCTCCTGTCTCCTGCCTCAACCTCCTGAGTACCTGGGACTATAGGCACATGCCACACCACCTGGATAATTTTTCTTAACCTCTCTCTCTCTCTCTTTTTTTTTTTTTTTTTGGTGGAGAGGGGGTCCCATTATTGTCCAAGCTGTATTTAGTATTTCTACCATACACATTTGCTGACAGTGAATTCTCTCAGTTTTTGTTTGAAAATTTTTTTTATTTTCATGATGGATATTTTTGCTGGGGATAGAATTCTATGTTGGCAGGAATTTTTTCTTTCTTTCTTTAAAATGTCATTCAGTTGTTTTATGATATCTGTAGTTAGCTGTTGCTCTTACTCCTTTGAAGGTGGTTTATCTTTATTCTCTGGCAGCTTTTAGATGTCCTCTTAGACTTTGGTTTCAGTAATCTCTGTGATGTGCCTAGTGTGGTTTTCTTTGTATTTAATTCTACTTGGGGTTTATTGTGCTTTTTGAAACTGTGATTTGCTGCCTTTTGTTAGTTTTGGAACATTCCAGGTCACTTATCTCTGCAAATATTGCTTCTGCTGTATTGAGCCTTTCCTCTTGGCTATGTGATTGTGTATTATATGTCTTTTATGCTCTGTTATAGATTTTGTTTGTGTGTGTGTGTGTATGTATGTGTGAGAGACAGAGTCTTCCTTTGTCACCCAGGCTAGAGTACCAGGGCCTCAGCCTAGCTCACAGCAACCTCAAATTCTTGGGTTCAAATGATGCTTCCTGCCTCAGCCTCCCAGGTGGCTGGGAATGCAGGTACCTACTACTTTTCTATTTTTAGTGGAGAAGGTGTGTTATTACTCTTGCTTAGGCTGGTCTCGAACTCCTGAGCTTAAGAGGTCCTGCTACCTTGGCTCCCTAGAGTGCTGGGATGATAGGTGTAAGCCACTGTGCCCAGCCTTTCTCCTTGTTTTTAGTCATTTTTGCCTATTTTTTAAATATACTTCATAATTTGTTTTGTTGGATGGTGGACACTGTGAATGAAAGATTATAGATGCTCTGCATAGTGTTACCATCCTCCAAAGAAAGTTGTTTTCTTCTAATATGCAGAATATTGGCATATCACCTTGATTCTATTAAGGCTTGGTTTGAGGTATTGTTAAATCTGATCTATTTTGGCTTTGTAGTTATCCCCAGGATATCCATCCTTTTTCTTCTCTGCCACAAATTGGAAGAATAAGAGTTGCCTTGGGCTACACATTAAAAAAAAAAAACACTAAAGAAAGATGATGAGCAAATTTTCTCTACACCACAGATAAGCAAAACAGTCTTCAGAGAATCAGCACATGCCTGCAGGTGCAAGTGTCTAGTCTGCCAAATGTGGCCCTTCAGGGTTGTCCATTGAAAACTCCAGTTTTCCAAGCTTCCTTGACCTTTTGTGGGCTGGAACTCCAGCTTCTCCCTTCAGCACTGGGTGTCTGATAAAATTTCAGCTCAGTTCTTAAATTTCCCAGTGAAAGTCTCACAATTAGAAGATGGCCAGGCTCGGCGCCTGTGGCTCAAGTGGCCAAGGCACCAGCCACATACACCTAAGGTGGCGGGTTTGAATCCAGCCTGGGCCTGCCAAACAACAATGACAGCTGCAACCAAAAAATAGCTGGGCATTGTGGCGGGCGCCTGTGGTTTCAGTTACTTGGGAGGCAGAGGCAGGACACTCGCTTGAGCCCAGGAGTTGGAGGTTGCTGTGAGCTGTAATGCCACAGCACTCTACCCAGGGGGACAGCTTGAGGCTCTTTCTCAAAAAAAAGAAGATGGCCAGTGACTTTAAGGAGAATTTATAGGCAGCTTTTAGGGGTTCCTTTTGGGCTATAATTCCCTTATCTTTTAAGTCCCAGGCATTTTGGTAGTCCTAATAGCCATTTTCTGATTGGGCTCAATGCCCCCATACTAGCATTTGAAAAATGGTCCTCATTGGTAATAAGAGCCAAGTGATGTGCAACGGTTCACAACTGTACCACCAACCAGCACTCTAGGAGGCTGAGGTGGGTGGATCCCTTGAGCTAGGAGTTGGAAACCCGCCTGAGAAAGAGTGAGACCCTGTCTTTACTAAAAATAGAAAAGTGGTGGTGCCTGTAGTCCCAGCTACTTGGGAGGCTGAGTTAAGAGAATCACTTGAACCCAGGAGTTTGAGGTTGCTGTGAGCTGTGACACCACGGCTCTCTACCCAGGACAACAGAGCAAAACTTTGTCTTAAAATTGAAAAAAAGAGCCAAGCCTTATAACTCCGCAGGTTCTGCTTATGTGGATTATTCTCCAGTATCTTCAGTTGTTTCATAAATATGTTTTTTTTTTTTTGAGACAGAGTCTCAAGCTGTCCCCCTGGGTAGAGTGCCATGGCTTCACTGCTCACAGCAACCTCCAACTCCTGGGCTCAAGCGAGTCTCCTGTCTCAGCCTCCCAAGTAGCTGGGATCACAGGTGCCCGCCACAGTGCCCGGCTATTTTTTGGTTGCAGCCATTATTGTTGTTTGGTGGGCCCGGGCTGGATTTGAACCCGCCACCTTAGGTGTATGTGGCTGGCGCCTTAGCCACTTGAGCCACAGGCGCCGAGCCACATAAATATGTTGTAGCTTTTTCATATAGCTATTTTCTATGAGAAGTTAGCCTAGTATAAGCTGCTCTTTCATGGCAGCACCTAGAAGTCCTGCATCTAGGTTTTTCTTTTTATAAGCATTATTTGATAAACTTTAAATGTTTTCTTTTGTTCTTTCTCTTTTTTAAAATCTTTTTTTCCTTGAGATTTTTGTGTCTCTCAGACTAAATATGCAGGTCATTTTCCAGAACTGAGCCATCTAGGATATATCCAGCAAATTAAAAATTTTTTGGTCATATATTCTAGTATAACAAATATTATAAACTTGATACTCACGTTTGAACCAAAAGTATACATAATAAAATTATAATTTTTTTAGCTTATCTAGTAAAAACATAACTAACGTTATGTAACGTATATAATGCTCCTGAAAGTGGTGTTTCTTGACCTCTTATTTTGTGTGAAAAATATGCTCTAACATTGTGGATGTTTGCAGGTCTCGACACAGGCGATTTTCTTACAGCCATTCTAAATCTCGTTCTAAATCACTACCAAGGCGGTCTACCTCAGCAAGGCAGTCAAGAACTCCAAGAAGGAATTCTGGTTCTAGAGGACGGTCAAGGTCCAAGTCCTTACAAAAGAGGTCCAAGTCAATGGGAAAATCACAATCAAGTTCACCTCAAAAGCAGACTAGCTCAGGCACAAAATCAAGACCACATGGAAGACATTCTGACTCCATCGCAAGATCTCCGTGTACACCTCCCAAAGGGTATACCAGTTCTGAGACTAAAGCACAATCAGCAAAACAGGCTCATTTCCGGTCACATTCCAGGTCTCAGAGTTATCGTCATAAAAACAGTTGGTGAACAGCAACAGAAAGAGCCCTACGTAGTCTTTAAGTTATTAAACCTCTCATGTTAAATAAAAATTCTTCAAGGATTACAGAAAATGTGAATTGATATTAGTTACGTTGGGCATGTGGAAGAAATAAATCTCTCTAGCTTTGGATTAATCAAGATTTGGTCTCAAATCAAGGGCCCACACCACAAATTACAAAATGTCTAATATCACCATTTTTTATGGACCATTTTTTGTTTACATTGTGGTAGAAGGGTTCTTTTCAAAGGAAATGGGTAAAATGGCATTAATTTTAAAAATTCTACTTGGATATCAAGTATTAGTAATATCAATATTACCTTTTACAGAAATATTTTGACTTTAAAGCACTTTCATGTAAAAAGTATTATGACTGTGTAACTGCATAATTCGGACTTAAACTGTTTAACACCTATGTCTCTTTTGTGTTTTCTGTTTAAACTAATGTCTGGTGGACATTAGTTCATAGTACAGAATTCTGACGTCCTGAAAAGTAGAATTTATATAGAGATAAAACATTGAAAAGATACATTCTGTCCTGCACTCAAAGAAGGTTGTATATTTTTGGGTAGAACAGTATAGGTAAGTTGACATAAAGAGGCATCCTGTACCATGTCTACTTTAAAAATGTCAAAATATTTAAGAAATACTGGATTTGGAATGGTTTGAGACTAATTCTCTAAAAAATTATGTACAACACTTGCAATCCAAAAATATTCATATAAGCCTTACCATTTGAAAAGTGACGCATTTTATACAGAATCATATTTTATACCATTATTTCTACATATCTACTTTTCATCTGCCTAATTTTTTATTTTTAGAGTTCTAGCACCTTTAAATTGTATAGAACAATTCTTATTTTTGAAAGTGTTTAGTACCTTGTACTAAGATACTCAAGAGTACATCTTCAAAAAACAAATGTTTAGTATTTAAATTTTACATTACACTGCCCTTCATTTTTTTAAAGCCAAATAACTTTGTTGATATTTATTACAGTTGTAGTGATTGTAACTAATAACTTCTTTTAAAATGTGTTTATAGTTTGTTTTTCAAACAGTTTTGGTAGTATTTGTGATAAAATGGTTTTGCATATGATTATTATAGGAGATATATTTATAGAGCTCTACTTGTATACTTTGGTGAATTATATTACTGAAACTTAAAAGTTCTCAACCCATACAGTTAATATTTGTATCTACAGGGCTTGAGAAAAAAATCTGCCTTATATTTTCAGTATATTAGAAGGCAGTGTTGCTTCTATCTGTTTTGAATACAAATCCCATTTGTCTTTGCATTTTAGATCCTATATGTAAGAAACAACTTCACCCAATAATTTGTGTGCTGGTAATATTTAGACACGTACCATAAATTCATGTATAGTGTACTTTATGAATAGATTTTCTCTAATCATAGCAAGATTTATTTCAAAACTACAATTCTTTGAAGTGTTTAGTTGTAATAAGAGTTAGTTATAAAATTATGTGGTACTATTGAAAATTTAAAGGTTAGTCTGAACAAGTAAAATAAATACTAGTAGTAATTTTTAATGTTTTCTAAGTATTTGGGGTCACACACATAAATGCAGTCATCTTTAATAATAACTGGGAATTAATGACAGTGTCTTTATTCTGTGTTCACAAATTATCTTAGTAAAAAGTTAGTAAGACAATATCCCTGAGCTATTTGATCCTTTGATTTGGTTTTCCATTGTAATCCCTAGGCTGCCTAGAATACTATTTGGTTTGATGGAACAATTGTAGTGATAACAGCTCAAACTCTTGTGAGGATTTACTCTGTGCTTGGCACTGCTCTATAAGCTTAGATTCTTCACTCATCTTTAGTTATCACAGCACCCTTATCAGGTAAACACTGTTGCAGATGAGGAAACAGATGCAGAGAGGCTAAGTTACAAGAGCTATTCAACTTTGGAGCTAGACAGTGACTGGGCTTGAGTCTTCTCCCCGACTACCATGCCTATGTACAGAAGTTTCTGACATAAATGCTGAGAGAAATTAGGAGAATAGATTTAGGAAAATAAATGACTATAGGCTTCAGTGAAAATGAGATTGTGACTGTGGGTGAAAATCATGGGCTGTGGGTATCCTGGAAAATTGTTCTCTGGGAATATCTTTAGTCTAGGGTTCAAGTTTGTAATAATAGAGTTGTTTCTTGGACCATTTAAGAAAGCGAGCTTTGGAAGCCCTCAGTGCAGTGGGCAACACATCTGTCTTATAAGAGATAACAAAGATTGTTTATGAATAAGGCAAATGTTTTAATTTTAGATACCTTTGATCAATTCCTTTAAAGATATTAAGTAGTTCCCAACTTTAGTGCAAGGGTACTATCTACCACCATTTTGTTCAGGATCATAGAGGATAAGTTAAGGTTAAAGAAAATAAAGACAGCTACCACAGCTGCCCATTTCATTTCTGCTGTGAACAGTGCACAAAGAATTTTTATATAGTAGCCAGTATTCTTTAAGTGCTAACAGATAATGGGAGAATTTGCTTTAATTTTTATTGGAGCCTAAGATTTAATTTTATGCCATTGTACTAATTTTTTTTTTCTTTAATAAGAGACATGGTCTCACTGTTTCCTGTGCTGGAGTGCCATAGCAAGATCATAAATCACAGCAGCCTCCAATTCCTGAAACCACCATGAACAGCTCTGGGTTAATTTATTTTAAAATGTAGATTAAATGATTTCAAGACTTGATTTGTAATGTCTGAGATGTAACTACTTTAAGATACTATTGCATTTGCTCGGCACCTGTGGCTAAAGTGCCAGCCACATACACCTAAGGTGGTGGGTTCGAATCCAGCTTGGGCCTGCCAAAACAACAATGACGGCTGCAACCAAAAAAAAAAAAAAAAAATAGCTGAGTGTTGTGGTGGGCGC